TACAGGTCTGCCGCACCTTCTGCTGTCAGGGTCTCATGACAGGCTGAGAAGTGGACCTGCTTGGTAAAGCGGTCGGTGGTAACCAGGATCGAGTCGAATCCATCAGACTTTGGCAAGCCGACGATCATATCGGTCGTGATGATCTGCCACGGGCGCTCGGGGATCTCGTTCGGCTTCAGCGGACCCTGGGGCTTGGCTGGGAATGTCTTGGTACGGTTGCACACGTCGCAGGTGCTTACGTACTCATTGACGAATTTGGACATCCCAGGCCACCAGTAATTCCGCGACACGAGCTCCAGGGTTTTGGCACGACCGCCATGACTGGCGATCGGCGAGTCGTGGTGGATTTTGACTATATCCCGCCAGAGCTCCGCGTCTTTTGGGACGTACACACATCCGCGGAACAGCAGGAGCCCTTGTTCGGCATTCCACTCCTCAAAACCCCTTTGCAGCCGGGGTGGCCCGAGGTCCTGTACTTTTTCAAGCGCCTCAGCCACCTCCCGATCCTTTTCCGAACACTCCCGAATGTGCTTCAGAAGCGACTGATCGGCCGTCACCGAGGCATGACTGCGCCGGGCGGAGGCGATGCGGAAGCGCTCTGGCTTGAGGACTATCTGATCGGTGTTATCGTCCTCATCGCCGATCTGATGGTCTGATCGTCGCGACAGGGCATCAGCCTTTCCATTGGACGTCCCGGCCTTGTGCGTGATGCGGAAGTCGAAGCGAGCTAGGAACAGCGACCATCGCGCTTGACGGCGCGTGAGATGCTGGGATGTACGCCAGTACTCGAGGTTCTTATGATTGGTCACGATCTCGAACTGATTGGGTAACCCCTCGAGATAGTGGCGCCAATCGTCTAGCGCCTCAATGATCGCGAGCATCTCCTTATCGTAGATCTCGTAGTTCCGCTGCGCCGGATCCATCGCATGGGATCTGAAGGCGATGGGATGCCATTTGCCGTCATCCTGCTTCTGCATCAATACGCCGCCAGTGGCGTACCCCGAGGCGTCAACCTCAATGCGCGTCTCCCGATCAGGGTCGTACAGTGCTAGGACTGGAGTCGTCGCGAAGAGCCGCTTGAGCTCGTCGAAGGCGTGCTGCTCCTCTTCACCCCAATGCCATGGGTCGTTCCCTGTGAGCCGGTCGAGTGGTCGCGAGATCTTAGCGAAGTCCTTAATGAAGCGGCGGTAGAAGTTGGAGAATCCCCGGAATTTCTGGACGTCCTTTTTGTTCCGGGGTACCGGCCACTCATTAATTCCTTTAAGCTTCGCGGGATCCATCGCCACCTCATCGCCACCGAACACATAGCCGACGTAGTCGACCTTGGGAACATCCCATTCGCATTTCTCAGGCTTCAGGAATAGATCATTATCCTGAAGGCGGCGCAGAACCTCGCGTGTGACCTTCTCATGATCCTCTTTATTGGTGGAGAAGATGAGTATATCGTCCAGGTACACAAGGATCTTGCCGCCGACGATGAGATCGTGGAAGATCTCATTCATCATCGCCTGGAAAGTCGCGGGGGAGTTGGTGAGACCAAAGAACATTACCAAAGGCTCGTACAACCCTCGGTTAGTCACGAAGGCCGCCTTCCATTCGTCACCGGCCTTGATCCGGACGTTATTGTATCCCCATCGGACGTCGAACTTCGTGAAGAGCGTAGCGCCGCGGAGCTTATCCACCATCTCGGCGATCAACGGCAAGGGATAACGGTTTTTGACCGTGATCGCGTTCAATCGGCGGTAGTCCTGTACGGGTCGAAGCGTCCCTTCCTTCTTTTTGATGAAGAAGAAGGGGGATGAAATGGGCGACTTCGACTCCCGTATGTAGCCTTTCGCTAGTTGCTCTTTTAGGAACTTGTCTAGTTCCTCCTGCTCGTTGTTCGACAAGGGGTACACCTTAGAGTGGAAGGTCGAGTAGCCGGGTACGAGTTCGATCGCATGATCGTATGGCTTCCTTTCGGGTAGCCGTTCTGACGCTTCCTTGGAGAAGACATTCAGGAACTCGTGGTACTGTTTAGGTACCGACTCCTCGGCGGTCTTAATGACCTTCTTTTTGA